CTCTGGTCCAGAAGCCGACAGAGGGAGGGACCTCAGGGTCTCCCTGGTGGATCAGTGGTAAAGAATCCACCTACCAATGCAGAAGACGCAGGTTCCATCCCCGATTTGGGAAGATCCCCTGGAGCAGGAAATGGCAACCCCACTCCAGTATTCTTGCCTGGGAAATCCCATGGACAGAGGAGGCTGGCGGGCTATAGCCCATGGAGTTGCAGAAGTCAGACACGACTTAGCAACAAGGGCCGTGGTTAGAAAGTTTGGGCATCCCTGATTTGATGGAGAGAGGGGGTGCCCTGCTGTGGCAGTCTCTGCCCCTCACAGGGTGGCCAGGGTGGAGTCTGGAGTGTGGGCTGGGCATGAAGAGGCGGTAAGGAAGGGAGGACCACGTCTGGGAAGGAAGGTCGGGGCCAAGCAGAAGGCACTGAAAGCTTGTGTCCACAGCCTCAGCTCCAGCCAGAGGCCTGGCCCCAGGGCAGTGCCCTGTGCAGGTTTGAATACACTAGGGGATGTGTGACTGCAAGGCTGGCTGCTTGCATTTTAATAATGTGGGGTGGAATCTGTGCTTTCTTATTGTGCAAACCCATTACTTAGCTTCCTTGGCCATCACTTGGGGTGGGGGTGGGTGAGGGAGAGAGGATTCAGAGGCAGTAAACTGGCCAGAGTGGGATGTTGCCAGTGGTTTCTGTGCTATCAGCGGTTCCTGTGGCTAACAAGAACCCAGGATCTAAGACTTGTTTGAGCTGGGTTAAATGGCCCTGAAATTGTTTCGAATTTCCTTGGTCTAACTTGGAGAGTTGTTTCTTTCTTTCTTTTTTTTATCTTTTCCCTTCTTGTTAGTTATTCTTGCTCCCTTAGCATTGTATCTTAAACAGCCTGTCTTGGTTGGTCCTCTTGGGCTGCTTTAACACAAAGAACTTGGGCCGGGTGACTTCAACAAAACCATTGATTTCTCACAGTTGTGAGGCAGAAAGTCCAGGATCAGGGTGCGAGCATGGTCAGGTTGTTAAAGAGAGCCCTGCTTCTGGTCTGCAGCTGGTTGCCTTCTCGCTGTGTTCTGAAATAGCAGAGAGATTATGTGTCTCTTTCTCCTTTTGTTGTTGTAGTTCGGTCTCTAAGCCGTGTCTGACTCTTTGCGACCCCATGGATGGACTGTAGCATGCCAGGCTTCCCTGTCCTTCTCTGTTCCCCAGAATTTGCTCGGATTCATATCCATTGAGTCAGAGATGCTAGACCCTTGTGACTTAATCTAACCCTAATTACATCCCAAAGGCCCCTTCTGGATACCATCAAACTGGATATCAGGGCTTCAGCATATGACATTTTCGGGGGAGACACATTCAGTCCATAGCATAGCTCTTTTCCTCTCTAATCACTCCCCCTCTCCATGTTTTTTACGTTTTCCTTTTTTTTTTTTTTTTCTGTAGGCTGAATGACTAGATAACCAAGCTTGTTTTATTTTTATTATTTTTTGGCTGCACTGTGTGGCAGGCAGGAATCCTAGTTTCCTGACCAGGGATCAAACCCATGCCCCCTGCAGTGGAAGTGCGGCGTGGTAACCACTGGCCCGCCAAGGAAGTCCGCAGGCTTGTTTTAAACTGTGTGTAAAGTAAACATCAAATGTCTTAAATGAGAGTCTGAAAAGTTCTTCCAGAAGTTTATTATACAAACTAGGAACGCACAGATTTCAATTGCATTGACCTCAATGGCATCCAGATTGTATTTGTTTTCCCCCTGGTTCTTGCCCATGTTGTTAACATCACTGTGATGGTGTCAGTGACACATAAATGAAGTGTTGCTAGGTCGTAACTTTACGATTGTTGAGACTCTAAATAAAAGCCCTTTGCCGTAATGCCCCCTCATTTTCTACGTGGTGCTGTGCTTAGGGGAAAATGTTTCTAATCAAGAAGGAAGGAAAATTAACATTGCTCAAGCACCAGTCAGTCCTGGTCCCGGGCTGTCATATATATAATTCAGTTTTCTCAGTACTCTGCAAAATAGATGCTTTCTCCCTCTTGCCAGCCGAGGAAGCAGTGGTTCAGTACTGCCAAGCAGTTGGCTCAAGGCCACGCAGCAAACCAGGGAGAAGTCAGGATTTGATCTCCCGTCTCATTTCAAAGCCCTCTCTAGTTATTGCAGCAGACCCCTACCTGTTACGGATCAGGACACTTGGAAGGTTCTGTGCTTTTGTGTGTTGTGAAAAAAAAATTAGTGGATGAGTTCTAATTGTTGTTTCTCATTTTTTCCCTGTGTATTTTCCTAGGGCTGGGTTTGGCTGCAGGCCATTCATGCCATCAATGCTCAGGGAAGTGGTCACTTTCCTCAAAAGGTCGAGTCTACGTTTGTTGTTCTTCAGTTGCTAAGTTGTGTCTGACTCTTTGGGACCCCATGGACTGCAGAAGACCAGGCTCCTCTGTCCTCCATTGTCTCCCCGAGTTTGCTCAAATTCATATCCATTCGGTGATGCCATCCAACCATCTCATCCTCTGTCGCCCCCTTCTCCTCCTGCCTTCAATCTTTCCCATCCTCAGGGTCTTTTCCAATGAGTTGGCTCTTCGCATCAGGTGGCCAAAGTTTTGGAGCTTCAGCTTCAGTATCAGTCCTTTCAATGAATACTCAGGGTTGATTTTCTTTCGAATTGACTGGTTTGATTTCCTTGCTGTCTGAGGGACTCTCAAGAGTCTCTTCCAGCACTACAATTCAAAAGTATCAATTCTTCATTGCTCAGCCTTCTTTATGGTCCAACTCTCACATCCATACATGACTACTGGAAAAACCATAGCTTTGACATACCGACCTTTGTCGGCAAAGTGATGCCTCTGCTTTTTAATATGCTGTTTAGGTTTGTCATAGCTTTCCCTAGGTTAGCACTTATGAAGTTTTTCACTCCACGTGGTAAGGTTCTTTGGATTTCCAGCAGCATCTGAGGCCCAAGAGGTCTGTTTTCTGACAAAAAAAACAAACCCTTGGGGTGCTGAGAATGACCGGAGGAGCAAAGCTCAGAATCCCTGCCACCAGATGACTCCTGGCACTGACGATGAGTGACAGGCTATGGGACATGCTTTCAGGAGCAAGCCTCACCCGGCCACCCCCTGACAGTCACCTTCTCTTTGAGGCTGATACGATCATTAGCTATTTTCATATAAATTCGAGAAAGTCAACCTTCTCAGTGTTGCCTGGACGTTTCATGTTGTTGCAGCCCAGGAAACAATTCTGACTTTCTGGGTCTCTGTTTGACACTAATTTTAAATATCAGCAGAGGAAAGTTAGCCCACCATATAGCTCTGGAACCATCCTGACGTTTGAGTCACAACTTCAAAAGTAGCCGTCCAAACATCCTCAGCCACAGTTTTAGGAAACAGTGTATGGAGGACATTTCACAATGTTTTGAGCAATTTTGTTTCCCTTTTATTTTTGTTTTGGCCACAATATAGATGCATTTTAGGCTGACTCTGCTGTGGGGTAAAGATATGCTGGGAAAATGGAGACGAGCTTTCAGCTTACACATCAGATGTGCTCAGTAGATCAGTTCTGTCTGACTCTTGCGACCCTGTGGACCGTAGCCCACCCGGCTGGGCTTTCCTGGTGGGATTTCCTAGGCAAGAATCCTGGAGTGGGTTGCTATTTCCTCAGAGGTTCCACTTTAATTCCATTGTGAGTCTGATTGGAGCTCAGAATGGGGATGGACGGTCAGTTTCCAGGTGGGCCCCCAAACCTCCTGAACCAAAAGGAGATGAAATCTTTCTTGAGTAGCCTGAGAGGAGGAGGCCCAGGAGCCCCAGCAAGTCTGGAGGGTTTGGGAGCAGCCAGAGCCGGGAGAGGAGGCCTGGCTAGCGGGGCACAGGTTGCCTCAGCAGAGGAATGGGGTGGGGGCTGGGGGTACTGAATGGGGTGTCACAGACATTCCTGCAGGCCCCGGTCTGGGCTCCCAGTCATGGAGATGGACGGTTAGATGGTGTGTCATGGAGAGCTGCCGTTTCCCTGGACACTCTTGTGGTCTTAAGGGCCTGACACGGATGGGCCCTCTCAGCTGGCCTGACCTCTGATGGTTGGGAGCGAGCCTTTGCAAGGGGCATCTCCGTGGAGCTTCCTGTGGTGGCCAAAGATGGGGGAGGGGGGTGCTGCAGACTCAGTAGCAGGCTTGCCCCAATCCGCCCTACCCCCAAACTGTGTCCTTGGAGGCCGGACCTGGGTTCAGGTGAGGTGGGGACCCGGGAGCCAGGCCCTCGCATCTCCCTGGTACAGGCCTCAGCCTGAAGGAGGCAGAAGCCACCGGGACACTGCAAGCGTCTAGCACATTTTCCGCTGCAGCCTGTTTACCTGCCCGCCCAGCCCTGGGAGAGTCCATTGCCTTCCTCCGGGAGGGGTGAGCCGGCCGGGAAGAGGATACCCCCCCACCCCTCACAATGGTCCGCCCGGCCCGGACCACCGCGGCCCTCCCCCCTGGGGCCCCCCCGACTCGCGGGCCCGAAGTGTATTTGCATTTCCAAGCCAGACAATGCCGGCGATCCGGGCAAGGCTGCGGGAGGCTGGGGGAGGCGACTCGGGGGTAGAGGGAGGGTCTCCGCCCTCCCTCCCCCCGGCCCGGTTTCCCGAGCCAGCGNAGGCTGCGGGAGGCTGGGGGAGGCGACTCGGGGGTAGAGGGAGGGTCTCCGCCCTCCCTCCCCCCGGCCCGGTTTCCCGAGCCAGCGCTGGAGCTTTGTGAAGATGCGGGCGTCGGGGGCTGCTCGCTGATGATGACATCACCGTGTCCTACGCGGGAGCCAAGCTGCCGGGGGCTTTAAGAGCAGATCCCTTCGGACCCCGCCGGCGCTCACGCTCTCACTCGCGCGCCCCGGGCAGAGCCGCGCGCGCCGGCCACCCTCGCGCACACACTGGGGGCGCGCGCCGGCCACCCTCGCGCGCACACCTCCGCGGCGCTCGCTCCCCGGGCTCCGGCTCGGGCCCCGAAGCCGCAGCTCCCCGCCGCCGCCGCCCCGGATGCCAACAGCTGCTCCCATCTGCAGTGCAGCAGCCCCGGCCGCCGGCCGGCCCACCCTGGGCTCCCGCTGGAGGTACCGTGCCAGGACGCTGGCCCTGCTCGCGGCTAGCCTGCACTCCAGGGCGCAGCGAGGATGGGAGGGTCGCAGTCTCTGCAGCCAGTCCCAGCCAGCGACCTGAACCAGGAGGCTTCCGAGGCAATGTAAGTGCTCCGCCCGTCGCCCCGGAGGGCCCCCGGAATCCTCCCAGGAGGAGAGGGTGCTGGGGCTTTGTTAGTATCCTCTCCCCTGATACCCCGTGCAGCCTGGAGCTAGGGCTGTCCCTGACGTTCTCGGGCAGCCTAGCGTGGTTTTTACCTGGTGGCTCCCCTTGTAGTGGTTCGCGCCCCCCTCTGGAATGAGCATCTGGCAGCCCCTGGAGATTCCTGAGGGCAGAAATGACCCCCCTGGAATTTGATGGTTGTTCAGCAGCCCAGTGCGTGCTTGGGGGGCTTCTCCCTGCATCATAACACCGCCCCCCCTCCCCCCGGCACAGTGGTATTTCCTGCAAAGGGAACAGCCGGGCATTAACGAGGGCCTCATGGGAAGAATCCTTGAGGGTGGCAGTGCCGTGCCCATGGAGACAGACCAGTTTAGGGGCAGCCACTCACATAGCTAGACGGATGGCGTGGAGCATCGTTGCTGGACGTTCAGTCGGATTAACCCAAGCGTCCACACGCTGACTGGTGAACATCGGAGGACAAGGCTGCTCCCTATTATTAGTAAAGCCAGCCAGTCTTGTCATTGGTCCATTGGTGGAAGCAGCGTTTGACTGTGCATCCAGTTTCTGTAAACCAAGAGCCAATGGGGCCTTTATACTGGGTGGGTGTTTATTAGGATTCCCGTTTTTAAATGGTCATCTCCATTACCTACTTGGGCCTGTCTGGAGGATGGGGCTTATTGAATAGATCTGGCTGCAGGTCACCCCCGCCTTACCTGCTCTCCTTTCCCAAAGAGAAGAATGTGTTTCAGAGAAGAGTGTTATGTGGGGGCTTGGGGGTGGGGAGGCGGTGAAGTGGTCCTGGGAGCCATTGATGTGTAGATGAAAGGACTCCAGGCATTGGCCTGTGTGTTGTAGTAGGGACTCGGGGTGCCATGTGGGGCTTCTTTACTCGTCCCTGTGCCTGGGGTTTCAATGAGGACCTGGCTCAGTGCGGTGATGTAATGCTAGGCTGAGCCTCGTGCTTTTCCAGGCTCCAGCTCTTTAGCAGCGAACCATTCTAAGGAGCAGGTGTGCGCCGATCATTTGTCTTCCTCCTTGTAGCTCAAGACAGCATCATCTTACAAAGGAGGCGCGTCGAGTTGGAGGCTTTTCAGTGCCACGAGCCCTGCGCTTTGCCTGCCCTGGTTTTCGTTTGTGTATAGTATTGTTCCATGCATGGAAATATATACTACCACCCGGGACTTGAGCCTAAGCCGAAAAGAACAGTTCCAGCCTATTTTTGAGAAGTCTCTAAACTGAAAATCAGTTAAAGAGTGGTAGGCGCTAATTGGCTACTGAGCTAGCTAGCTGTCAGGGCTCAGATCTGTCTAAAAGCTTTCAGGAGACGCGAAAAAGATATTGTGACCATGTGTTTGGGAAAATCCGCTCCTCAGCCATCAGGGATTCAGCTCATGTGTCCCCAGCATCCCCGCCCTCTTTCCCAGTTGAGTTAATAAATGACCAGGCTTCTGTTGGCTGAGGGCTGAGTTGGGAGAGATTCTGTTAGATAGAAGCTGGGATAAGGTGTCCTAAGTCCATCCTAGGGGGATGTTATTGTTGTTTTAGTCACTTAAGTCGTGTCTGACTTTCATGACACCATGGACTGTAGCCCACTCTAGCTNGTGTCTGACTTTCGTGACACCATGGACTGTAGCCCACTGTAGCTCCTCTGTCCATGGGATTTCCCAGGCAAGAATACTGGAATGGGTTGCCATTTCCTTCTCCAGGGAATCTTCCCAACCCAAGGATCAAACTTTTGGCAGACGGATTCTGTACCTCTGAGCTAGCGGGGAAGTGTGTGCTAAGTTGCTTCAGTCATGTCTGACTCTTTTGTGACTCTAGACTAGAGCCCACCAGGTTCCTCTGTCCATGGGATTCTCCAGGCAAGCATGCTGGAGTGGGTTGCCATGCCAGGGATCAAACCCACACACATCTCTTATGTCTTACTGCATTGGCAGGCGGGTTCTTTATCACTAGCGCCACCTGGGAAGCCCACCTACCAGGGTGTTTAAATAAAACTCCAGGCCAAACGGCCACATTGTATTGGAAGCTCCTTCTCAAATATTGCCTGGATGAACTGGTCATGTGTACTAGCCAGAGTCTTTTCTCCTTGAAACTATTTCTGAAATGTCTTTCAATCTTTAAGATAGTATATTTACTCCTTCACAGAAGCCCACCCTCCATCCCCTAATACTTGTTTTTTAAAAATGGAGAGAATGGAAATGATTGGGGCTGGTTCCATACCTGGCAACTATTCTCTAAAATCACGTCTCTGCTGTCTGAGTAACTGAGAATTTTTCTACTATCAGTTTGCTTATTTCCAGTCTAGAGATTTTAAAAAGTGTATTAAGAGAGTAACTTTCTGTGCACCTGAAGTCACATGCTTGTGAAGAAGAAGACAGGGTGGCCATGTGTGGTCCATGGCAGGGAAGAAGCTCCCACTGCAGGATAATGCTTTCAGGGCTGCAGGGGTGGGAGGAACTCAGGGAGCACAGCCTGCCTCGGCGGGGTACAGTCGACAGCTGGGGACTAGACTGAACGTGTGTCTCTTTTTCTGTGATGGTTCCCTGTGAAAGATCAAATCAAGGAGGACCTGGGTGTAAGAGTGAAACCAAAAGACAGGGATGTTTTGAAAGTCCCTGCAGAATATTTTCTCTTTTAGTTGCAGGATTTCTGTGCTTGTGGGTTCAGGTTTGGGGTGCCTTTGGGCAGCTTTTGTAGCCCCACCTCCTAGCTTCATTCTGTTCCCAGAGAGCAGAGGATGGGGAGAGAGAAATGGGGAGTCTTGTGTCTCCCCTCTGGGGTGCAGCAGCAGACCGGAGGTGCAGCATGGTACATGGGATTGGGAGGGGAGGCGGGCATGGAGGTTCACGTGTTGAAATCCCTGTGACTCATGGGATGGTCCACCCCTCCCAGGAGGGCAGCATCACCCTCCGCTTTGCTCCTTAGAAAGGCAGAATCAAAGGGCCCACCTTTGTTTCGAAGTCAGAATCTCCATTTAACCAGTGATTTGTAAAGACTCCGGGATGACTTTTAGGCAGGAAAGTTTGAGAAGCCCGGAGCTTCTCCATCCTGGTGAGTTCCTCCATCTGGGTTCCTGAGAAACCTCTGGACACTTCTCTAACTGCTGATTTCTTATCTGGAAAAGAAGTTCTGGTAGCAATAGTAGCCTTTGTTTCCAGATAAAAGACGGGGGCGGGGGAAGGGGGGAAGGAGGTCAGGGAGAGGAGAATTCCGCTGCAGAAAACACTTCTCAGCACTGACCGATGGGACACACACAGGAAAGGGACGGGAAGTACTTGAGTCAATGTGATCTGAGTCCATCGATTAGACCCTGCCGCTGCGCCCTCCTTCCGCTGCCGCCCCTCGAGGCTCGGCTTCTGCTAAGAAAAGCAGTGTTAAGTGCTCTGTCTTTTGTGTAGCCGGAGACCCCCATCCCCGGGGGCTCCCTCTGCTTCCTGCAGATCCCCACACCCTGGCTCTCCAGGGACAGACAAGGGCCATCAGCATCTGAGGGTAAAAGTGGTGGTTGTATGGGCAAGTTCAACCTACTTGGGCTGTGGCGCCGCTCATGACCCGAAAAAAAAAAAAAACCCAAAATCACAAATAGGGAAACTGCTGCCTGTGTGGACCCGTGAGCAGCAAAATAGAAGGGCCGGGAGGGATGGCGGGAAGTGATGAAGAATGAAGCAACAGGCTGCAGTGATTGATGAGCAGGGGAGGGAAGGTTATAAAGACAGCGGGGAATACAAGCGGAGGATTTATGCTTAGATGTCCAAGGAGAGGATGTGGCGTTTGCCAAGACAAGGAAGTGGGATTTGGGAGCGCATCTGGGGGAAGGTTGATGAGTTTGGGCTGGGATTTGAGATACACGTGGGATCGAAATTCTAGCCGAGAGAGTGCCCAGGACCAGGGAGGCCCTGAGGACCAGCTGCACCAGGTGAGTGCTTCTGGGATGGGGTGGAGCTCTTCGGGCGGCTGTGGTCACAGACGGGAAAGTGGAGCTTTGGTCTCTTCCATCCTCTTGTGGCTCCTCACCCTCTCAGTCTGGGGGCTGTCGAGAGGGTCGAGCGGCTCTGAGCTTGCCCAGCCTGCCTCTTAGGGCTTCTCAGGGGTGAGGTTCCATGTCTGTGAAGACCGTGAGAAAGACAGAAGCACCAGACAGCAGGAAAGGCAGGAATGCATCTGTGTCTGAAAATTACCAGCATGTCCGTTGCTCAGAAGTCCAGAAAGGGCCGCTGGGGCTCCTGGCAGGAGCTTTCTTTAGGTCTCATTGGATTTCTTTCAAAGTCTTATTTCTTAAGATGACCCTCGGCTAAGTCATTTAGCTTCAACGGCAGCATCTTGACTGTGGGCCTGTCAGTTCTTAGAAGCAGATACTTCACTTTGGATATTAGTGTTGGATGAAAGGATGAGCAGTTTTCCCCCTGAAACTGAATAGGCTGTAAAGTCGTTTGTAGAACGGGCGTTGCCTGAGTCCCAAAGATGCTATCTTAGTTCAGGTTTCTATAACGTAAAATACCACAGAAGGACACGGCTTAAGCAACAGATACATATTTCTCAATAGTTCTGGAGGTGACAGAATCCAATGTCAGTGTGTAGTGAGGGCCCGCTTCCTGGTTTATGGATGGCTGTCTCCTTGTCCTCATCTTGTCCTCAGACATGAAGGCAGTGAAGGTGAGAAGAGAAGAGCAAGCACTCATGTTCTCTTCTTACATGGGCACTGATGCCCGGGTAAGGCGCCACCCTCATGACCTAGAAAGTGAGAGTGAGGGTCACTCAGTCGTGTCCGCCTCTTGACGACCCCATGGACTATACAGTCCATGGAATTCTCCAGGCCAGAATACTGGAGTGGGTAGCTGTTCCCTTCTCCAGGGGATCTTCCTGACCCAGGGATCGAACCGGGGTCTCTCACATTACAGGCGCTTCTTTACCAGCTG